ATTGATTGAATATCAAGAAGTATTTTTCATCACATATGATAACTAATCTATTTTAAAAGTTTGATAGACATCAAATAAATGATCATCTCCTCTAAATTTATATTTTATACATATAATAATTTAAATATATATATTTATTTTATTAAAATATAACTTTTATTTTTTAAGATATACTATTTTTTTAATAAAAAATATGTATGTGTAAAATGGTAGTAGGGGCAATTACTCTTACTCTACTCCAAATATCATCACTGTTAGTAATAGTTATATTAATGTGATTGTTTGAGTTTGGAAACAAGATTTTAAAAAATAATATGCAATTATAGTTGTGGAAAATTCCTAAAATTGATATTTTATATTAAACAATGCTTGAATTGCATACATATTGTATAAACAATGATAAGTTTATTCAATGTGCAAGCATAAATTTATTGTATAGAAATTGGAGGTTGGTATATATTTTAATGTGGAATTTTTTTTTCTTTCATTTAACCCGATGGCTGCATATTATATACTTTAGAGGGGTTAATTAGGATCCAATACCATCTAAGTATGATAATGATATATGTTCCAGAGTATATTTAGTTGAGTGGTTTGACATATATTATAATATATGTAGTATTATATATTATTTAATATTTTATATTAATAGTAAATTTTATCACCATCTTAGATGAAGAAAAATAATGTCTCGGTAAACTTTCTCCCCTTCCTTCCTAACTAATTTTTGTTGTGGTGATTAGAAAATGGTTGTTGAAATTTATTAGATTGTATTAATTGTAAATATATTTTTATTTGAATTTTTATACTTTAATTTAATATTTACTTGTTGAATTTGTAGGTACAAAATTATACACTAATGGAACATTGTTGAACTTTTTGTTGAAACTTTGAAGCATAGAAAACTACTTCTATAACTAAAGACCTCTGTGGCAATAAGGATAAAAACCTATTTGGTTCTTTTGTGGTTTTGAATTCAATAAAATGAAAAAGAAGATTTTAGTATAGAAATAATATTTCTTTTAGAGAAAATTATGAGCTCATTATCATTATCCAATATATCTAAATGTTTGAAGAATTATAAAACTACATTCATGAATATATAAATAGAATATTACACATATAATTTTGAATATTGCAAATAAAGTCATGGTTAAGTGCTTATATATTTTTGTCCATGCAAAGTTTGATACAGTACATTTTACAATTATTTCTAATAATATATCTATAAATTCAAATTATATTAAATTTCATTAAAAATCATTTATTAATAACTAATATTGAAAAATTATAAGTAATATTAAAAATAATTAAATTTGTTAAATAATAATAAATGATAAATACAGATTGAAGGTATAAAATAACTTTTTAAAATAATAAACAAATTACCTACAACTAGGAACTGTACATACCAACAATTTTTACCTACAGGCAATAAATTAAATACAATAAATCAAAATTAAGGCTATAATGATAATTAAAATTTTTATAAGGATAAATAATAGTTGTTGTTCGACTCTCATAATGAATGAATAAAATATGTGTGCGTCAATGTATAAATAAGTTATACCCACAAATTTTTAACTTTTAGTGATAATGTTTATCTGTCGTCAAGTTTCTTGTAATGAATGAATTTTCTTCAAAACCTCTTTAGGCAAAATGGTCTACAATTGCTTTTGGAGAAAAAAAAATGTCATCTTAAATCACAAATACCTTAATGTCTTCTAGAAATCAACATACCACCCACAGAATTCTTCTACAACTATATTTAGGCCTAAAATAGTCCATATCAACAAGATCACAATTGTCAAGGCATGCATCAAAGCTTTTCCTCTTAAAAAAAAAAAAAAAAAACACCTCTTTGATTAAGAGGAAGAAAGATATCGTGGAAGTCACTAACAAGGACCCAGGGTAACACCTCGCACCTCTTAAAATCAGCCAAATAATCTGTCAAAATACAACTATTATAATAAATAAGGTTGGCAGACACACTTAACACACATCCAATAGTTATCCTCCATCGTTAGTTTGACAGTAAATACACTAGTGAAAAGAATTAATCACCACTTCTTGATAAGACCTGTCTTACTTACAAAGAATCCAAATACTCCTAGAGTGTCCATTTTCTCTCTTCACAACTAACACTTCATAACCTTTTTTCTTCCAGAACCCTCGATTTTATTGAAGAGAGTATGAATCTCATACATAAACACCAACTCAAGCTTGTATATAACTAATAAATCATGCATATATCTGTGAAAATCCACCTAGATTCCACGAAAGAACAAAAAATATTGAAGCTTATCATCATTAAACAAAATAATGTTAGTGAGTAACATAATAACGTTCCAAGGCTATTGTGGTAGTGTTTCCTCCACAACCTCCTCCATTTCAATCACATTAGACCCTTTTAGTACTTGGTGTTCAATCCCTCCTACACTAACACACACATCCATAGCATGGATATCCATGCATCATGCATGTCCTCCTCCATTACCCACAAAAGATGATTTAGACCAACCACCTCCATCGGCATGGAAGATTGGATACCATGCCCAAGTTGATAGGCACCATTGTGCATAATTGAAAGTTTCGCTTTATATGATTTGAAGTCTCTTCAATCACCATATGTGTCGTAGAGTCATTGGCTTGTTTGACCAAAGTCTTGGTCCTTACTATAGCCACACTAGCCTCTTTAGGCCTCACATTAGTCTTATTAGCCAAAGAGACAATGTTATTGTTAATAGTCCCCATCCACAATTGAATTGTGTCTTCTCCTTCCAATTTTTTTGGGAAACAATATTATTATTATTATTATTACCCACATTTTTTCTCTCCTTTGTAACCTCACTTAGTCCCACAAGACTGAAAATTTCCATGCTTTCTAAGGCATGAAAATGATTACACTAGGTTGCTTTCGTAAACTATCCATTTTTCCTTGTTTACCTTTGTATCTTGCTTTCTGCATCCTTTCTCATGATTCTTTAGCTTTATGATTCCCCCCACTTTTTTTTTTTTAACATTATTCAATTATTGTACACCCTTTCTTGTATATTATTACCATTGTCAGCCACATTAATGATCATTAACTTATCATGTTATTGTGCCCCTTGTTGACCTTGTACAGTGGTTTCTATTGGCATGTCGCTATTTGCCACCACGCAACCTTCATACTGGGACACTCTTGAGCTACATGTCTCTGCATTCCACTTTTTTGACAAATCAAATTTAACCCCTCATTTCAGTCTGAAACCAGTGATTTCTGAATAAAACTTTTTCACCACCTGTTTGTTTAGATCAATCTCGACACAAACACGGGAAAACTCTCCATGTTACGCATCCATTGTATGAATGCCCACTTTGATTGGTTTACCCACTGCATTGGCTAATGCCATTAAGACACTTTAATCATAATATTCCATATCAGACTATGAACTCTTACCAAAACTAGCATTTTGTCAATGACAACCTCAAAAACATAAAATTCAGTACCCATGGTCTCACCAGAAAAACCTATTGGCAAATCAAATTTCACCATATAAAAACCTCCCCTAATGTTCACAAGCTCCATGCCTCCTACTAGTCTCCAATCTCCATAAAGCTTCGAGTCTTTCTCTTATAACTAAAGAAACCAACATTTTTATTCCCCAACTATTTAATAATCCTTTCATGGTAATCATAAATCACAAAACGTGCTCTCCTTTATGAAGCATTTTTTGTTTCATTCTATCCCTATCCTCCAATTCAATTCTGAACAAAATTTTTCGTAGAAAATCCTTGCTTTCCCTCTTGGGTAGAGGTGCTTAGTTATTTATCACCATATTTCTTTAAAAAAAAAAAAAAGCCTAACAATTTAGTGGATTCTCCCCCTATTTGATAATTTTGATAGTTGAGACACTACTTAAACCCCATTTTTTCTCCTTTATTTTCTCTGTACAAAGCAATGTACATGATGATCAATTTTCTTTTTTATTTATAAATTTAATCTTAATAGATATACATATATTTTCTACAAAATATCAATGATTAAAAATATTTTTATATCACAATATAAATTGACCATTATAAATTTAAAATTGTATATCTAGCTTATATATTAAAATCTATTTATTTATTTATCATATGTTTTAATTATAACATAATTTGCAATTAAACATTAAAATACTTATTATAAATTTTAACCATATAAAATAAATATTTATTCAAAATAACTAGGTGCCCTAATATTAATTACAAGTATGAAGTTTCTTATCATCAAAGCATAATATTTGCTTTCTTCTCTACAAAAAAGATGAATTCCTCTACATTTTGAAATAAAAAGAAAAATAAAAAAAAGAACCTCTCCATCCATGATCCATCCTTTGAAAAAGTGATGAACTGAGAACTCTCCCTCTTCACTTCCTCACCCCAAAACCAAAACCAAAACCAAAACCAAAACCCCTGCATGGCTCTGCCATCAGACCCTCACCGCCACATCTCCGCCTTCCTCCAATCCACCGCTTCCAACTTCGCCTCCCTCTTCAACCCTCCCAATCCCCCTCCTCTCACGCTCCCCTCCTCCGTCTCCCTCCCTCTCTTCTTCGCGCCGCCGCTCTCCGCCCTCGACTCCTCCGCCTCCTCCGCCGCCGCCGCAGCCGAGCCCCCCCGCCCCGCCGCGAAATCGGTCCGCGTCGCGCGGCTCGGCGCCAATGGGAAGGCCGCCGGCGGACCCGCCTTCGTGGGGCAGGTCTTCAGCATGTGCGACCTCTCCGGAACGGGCCTCATGGCCGTTTCTACGCACTTCGACATTCCCTTCATTCCAAATTTTACATATTAGACTTGTTTTTCTCCATTTAATCCAAGGAATCGATCTAGCTAGGTCTCACCATCATTTGGTGAACCTAACTAAACCAATTCCAAGATTTTGGATTGGATTAAATTAATGAAGAAAAACAAGGCATGGTTGCCCACCCTTCTCCATGGTCGAGTATTAATAGTTTCTCCAACACACCTTGCCACTTGGCTTGCTAAGGGGACTAGGTGACACTTGACACTCTATGATTGACTATTCTAGATCTAAGTGTCTTCTCCTTGTCTCCTAAGAGACAAGGTGATACTTGACAGTATTATTGACACTTCTTGATCTAAGTGTTCTTGATTGTACATTGATTTGTATGGATTAGAATTGTTCTTGTGTCACAATTACAAATCTATAGAACAACTCAATTTATCTTGCATGTTTTTTATTCATACATCAATCTTTGTGGATCAATGTTGTTGTGTGCCTTTAGGTTATTCTTGTACCTGCATTTTAATGTTTTAGGATTGCTTATATCTTGTTTGAAACTCCAAAATATTTGGTCAAAAGAGAACTCCAAAGAAAAACAAGTAGTTGTATGCATTTTTCCTTTCTTAATCTCTTAGTTTTGTCTTAGAAGTTTTGTGTAGTTGCTTACTTGTCATTACTTCTCTTGTATGCCTTTTTTTCTTTTGAAATCTATAAACATTAGTCCCTGTTTTGATTTGGTTATATTGTTGGCTGCATATATAAGTACTCTTAGAAATGCTCATTGAATGATTCCTATGCATGTTATTAGATCTAACATGTTCTAGTGTCATATTTGGTGAACTTCACTTGCTAACTCTTACTTAGCAATTTAAACCCAGCAATTCCTTGAGACTTTTATGCTTTGTTTGAGATATACAATCAGATTAGGAAGTGTAAAATGAAAATTAAAGAAAGTGTACAAAAAAGAGAACAAACTATAATCAAAACTCGTTACTAGTAACATAAAAACTTGTCTTGTACACTTACACTTCCTATACCTCTTTTCCACCACTTGTAAACCTTTTTAATTCATTGTTAGGCCTCTATTTTAGTGCTCATATTCAATGTAAAAAAAAGAAAATAAAAGAAAAGAAAGAGCCAAGAAGGCAACAAAAGAAAAAGAAAACAAAAGCAAAAGCTAGAAAAACAAAAGTGTAAAACAAAGAAAGTTTAGAGCACTTGGCCTTTTAATTTTTGTGTATTTTTCCTTTGGTTTACTCTCTATCCAGTGGCTGGAAACACACTAATAACTCTCAAAATTTTAGCACAAATTTTGTTTTATTTTGTAATCAACTCTAATACAATTACTAGGACTATTCCTTTGAAAGCTAATGTTGAAATTGTCCTTTATTTGTTTTTGGTGGTAAACCAAAAGGCTTGGTGAGTGGTGTTGGTAATAATGGAGGTGGGGTAGGCTTAGGTTGTTGGATAGATGAATTGCTTCTGGATCTAGTGAAGTGGTCTAAGTGGTAAGTGGTAATGTTTGGGTAAGGTGGTTTAAGGGACGGTAAGTATTTTTCTTCAAAGAAACACCAAAATGGAAAAGACAAGCAGACATAATACACAATGTTATTATCAATTAGGATCATTATAATAGAAGATGAGAGGTGAGAGTGGTGCAAAAGGGTGTTTGAGAGGTGTGAGAGGTTTGAGGTTGTTAGGAAGTTTGAAGATTATGGTTGGAATAAGAGTTGGATTGATACTACTACTTTTTACTTTACTCATTTTCTTGAAGACTTTGAAGAAAAAATAGTTATGGAGAGTTTTTTTGTAGGTGGGGAAATTGATAGATATTTTTACTGGAAGACAAAGGAATAAGGAGGGAGCTAAAGTCAAAATCCTAAATAGTTGGAGAGAGCTCTAGATTAAAGATGTATTGGCTGTGAAAAATTGCATGTCAATCTTCCTTTGTTTAGGTAAAGAGTGTTGAGAAAGCCTTTTGCTAGGAGGAACGTTGTTGATGATGGTAATCGTATGTATAAGAAGAATCGTAAGGTAAGCCAAGTTAGATCTCCTGCATGGTGTGTCAGTAAAAATACATGTCAATCTTCCTTTGTTTAGGTAAATAATGTTGAGAAAACCTTTTGGTAGGAGAAACTTTGTTGATGGTGGTAATCGTATGTATAAGAGGAATCGTAAGGTAAACCAAGTTAAATCTTCTATAGGGTGTGTTAGTAAAAATGCTTCGATAAGGAAACCAAGTGTCTCTTATGCACATATTGTAATAGCTTTGAGGACTTTGAATAGTGTGGAGGAAGATTCCTGTGGTGCAGCTAAGCGAAACCTAAAGGTTCATCGATGAAGGTAGAGGAGACTAACCTTGATTGAATGTCTAAATATGTTTTTGGGAAGTGATAAGTGCTACGATTTCATTAAGTTTATGGCCTAGTTTGAAGCACTTATATAAATTTTCCTTGCTTTAGACCTTGTTTCTAACTCAAAACATATCTAAATTATTAGGTGATCATATTTTGTATTTAAATCATGTTTTTAGGTAACTTACAAGTATTTGGTTGTTGTTTTGTAGTTTTGGAGAAAGCTAGGAAAGAAGGAAGGAAGTCAAGCACAAAGTGGTGAATTTGAAGTTGAAGGAAATTTTGGTTAAGTCCTCAGGCTAAGCCCCAGATCCAGGCTTAGCCCCAGCTTGGCAGAGAGTCCCTGGAACAAAAATTCAATCCCCACGCCGAGCGTGGAACTGAGGCTGAGCGTGGGAGTCCCAGAACCTCATTTCACTCCAAACTTATCCTCAAGCTTAGTGTGACTTCTCACGCTTAGCGTAGATTGTGCTGACATGTCATTATTCACATAAGACAAAAGATTTTATGACCTAAAAGTGGGATTTTCGAGGAGGGAAGCAAAGAGGATCATTCTTGGAGTTTGTGTGGCGGCTGGAGAGCTCTGGAACCTTCAAGATCAAGCTTCTTCCTTTCTTCATCATTTTGTAGAGTTCTACATGTTTATGTGTAGCTAAACTCACCCTTGTTGGGGTTTGATGTAACTAAACCCATTCTCATGTGTAAACTCTAAGTGATCAATGTTAGTTGTTATTTAGTTTTATTGCTCTGTTTCTGTGCATAATGCTTGTTATGGCTTGATCATCCTTAACTTGAACTTGAGGTTTTTAAGAGATTGAGAAATGATTTTAAACCTTTGACTTGAAATAGAGCAGCTAATGGTGCTTATTGCTAGAGATAGAGTAAATGCCATTGGTCTTTCTTAAGCTCTTGTTTTTAAAGCTGGTTTCTTGGTTAAACTATGCAAGAGATTGATAGTTTAAGTAAGTAACAAGGCCTCCAGTGAAAAACAAAATTTACAAACACATGCACAGATTCCATACTCAATCTAATGAGTATAGAAGATGCATAAAAAAAAATAAGCATAATTAGTTAGATATAAACATAAGATATCTTATATAATAATAACTGAACATTCATCTTGGTTTATAAGTCATGTGCTATGTGTCCAAAAAAAAGGTTCATAACAAGTCTCAACTCTCAAGTAGGGGTGCGAAAAACTTACAACCCGCCCCGAACCCGAATAAACCGCCAAAAAAAATAAAATTCGTGGTTTGAGAATTTGACCCTAAACCCACCCAAAACCACCCCTACTCTCAAAGTAGATACATAAAATAGCACGTTTATTCTATACCACAAAGAGCAGAGAGCAAAGATAATAATAATAAAAAATAGCACGTTTATTCAAATAAATAGTGAGTGTTAATAATCAAAATAGTAATTATTTGTTCTTTAGAATATGTAGAGGGTTTAGGTATCCTTCTGTTGGATCAACTAGAAAAAGTTGTGTCAAGTGGAGATATTTTGGTAAGCTTTTCTATCTTATGTTAGGCAATAATATGAAAGTTAAATAAAATATTCAACAATTGATCATGTCCTATAACTAAATAATATGATAATTTTTATGATTAAAATGATTTAATAACCTAATAAACATCCAATATTCATGTCATTGCATTAATTCATATCAAAAGATTGATTGAATCCTTTTTGTTCTGACATAAAAAAACATTTTTTGAACTTTTAATGAAAAAAATACATCCTAATATAAATTTATGGAGAAAAATAATTTGGACACAATTATAATTATAAAGTTATTTATATCAAAACCAATTTTACTTAACTTTAAAATAGATAATTGTTAGTAAATTAACAATGATGCTAACTCTTTGTATTAGATAATATGGCTTTTATTGTATCTTGAAAACGAGATCGCTTAGGTTATATTTTACTTAGCTTTTTTTTAAAATAAAAATTATTTAAAAGGAGAAGGAAAGAAAAACTAAAGCCCTGTTGGTATTTTTAAAAATAGTTTCCTTTTTTAAAAAAAAAAAAGTGTTTGTCCCTTTATTACATTTGAAAGTTTATTCCTTGATCACATTCTTGCTTTCTAAAAATTTGTTTTTTGAGAGCATGAACAAAGGGTTTATAGAAAACTAAAGAAGGGATGAGAAAACGTTTTCTAACTATTTATATTTCTTTTTTCCCGTTTTTAACATACTTATTTAAAAAATAATTTTAAAAAACGCACTTATGCACATTGACCTACAATTAATTAAAGAAAGATGTTTCGAATGGTGTTCTTAAAAACTCAATAGGAAAGCCATAGTGTATAAAAATGAATTCAGTTTCCTCAATGTTTATGAATGTGCTTAGCATCACATACATAAATCGTAATTAATCTGGACATGCCATATGTAATAATGCTGCCCATAACCCTTATAAGAAGGTTCATTTGTTCATCAAATCATTGAGAGACAAAGTTGAAAACAAAATCGAAGTCTCATTAATTCTACAATGAGGTGTTGAATCCTAAGCTCCAAAGATAAGGACATCCCATTTATACATCAACGTGGTTTCAATAAAGAAGTAGGGCCATCAGTGTCTCTCTAATCTCCACCATTTAGCTATAGCAACTAAAGTCACCTTTTTTATCTATTGAAAATTAAGATATTCTAAAAGGAGGTTGAAATGATTTGTTTGTTATGTGTAATAATTTTCTACTGAAATTTATAAATGGAGAGATAAGTTATATGAATGAAGTGTAGTACATTATTTTATTGAATCATCAAATTCAACAATTCAACTTCCCGAAGAGCATGGCCTCTAAGGGAATAGTAAATTAGGTAAAATAAACCCTACAATAGAAAGTAGAATTTTAGAAGGTGACAGAAGAAATGTACATCAAGAGAAGAAGGATTATAAATTTCATAATTTCTATCCCTTTTCCCAATTTTTCACTCTTTCTCATATGCATGTGCTCACATGTAATCCTTAAGCCTCATGTTTGTTACGTGATTCCTTTGGCCTTTTCTCACTAAATCCTTAACAAACTCTTAAGGTAATTGTCCTTTTCCATGTTCTTCTGCAGAGTCAACACTTTTGTACTTTTTACCCTTTTTACTCATTACAATACCTTCCCCTTTAAAAGTAACCTTGTTACCAAGGTTGAAATTTGGATACATCAACTAAATGCATGAGGACTTTAAGGCTCAGGTGTATTGTAAGGACTAATGCATGAGGATTTTAAAGCTTTTTTGGCCAGTTTTAATAATAAATTTGTGGCCAAGTAAGTAATGTCTAAATTTGGCGAAAGCTTGAGTAATAGCAAAGAGTTCCCTGGTGTAAGCTAATTGTCATTGCATTCTTGGAGTCAATTTCTTTGAGAAAAATGCAATAGGATGTCCATTTTGACTAAGGACAACATCCACACCAAGGCTGAAAGCATCAATTTCCAATATGAATGGCAATTGAAAATTGGACAGAGCAAGGACTAGCATGGAAGTAATAACAATCTTTAGTTTCACAAATGATTCTTCGAGCACTGAAATGTGGTAGGTGCATTAATAAGGCCAAATTACATGACAAGTCATTCATAGTGGCCATGATGAGTACTAAAATTTGCCAAATGTACATATACGGGGTTAACCAAAATTTGGTGGAAACATGACTGAAGATCAAGCTTAGAAAAGTATTTAACACCATATATTCATCAAGTAATTCTTTTATAGTTGGCATAGGAAAACCATTTTTAATAGTAATGGCATTTAAAGCTTTATAGTATGTGCAAAATCTCCGAGAGTTGTCTTTCTTTTTAACCAACAAAATAAAGGATGAGAATGGGCTCGTATTAGGGAATTGATGTAGGACCATCCACAAAAAGTTCACACTTGAAGACCATTAGACCTTTAACTAGGTTCATGGTTAGGAGACTTGAGGAAGTTTCTACAAAGGAGTTGCTTTTTAGACCTATGCTCTATATGAGCATGGAGTATGATTCATCTTTTTAGGCTCAAAGTCTTTATTGTATATACTTAGTATAGTTTGAGTTATTTTACCTTGTATATAGTAGATACATGTATAGGCTTATTTTTGTATTTATATTTGTAAGACACTTTTATCTTTCTTTATAGGTCATACCGTTAGGATTTTAGGGTATGTTGCTTATAGACTTTTACTTCATTTGACCTTATATTAAGGGTCACAAATTTTCATATTTTTAGTTTTAGTAGTGGGGTAGCAAGTAAAAAATGTGTAGGTGAAGCTAGTAATTGGGTCCTTAGTGGGCCTAGGCCAAATTTTACATATTAGACTTGTTTTTCTCCATTTAATCCAAGGAATCGATCTAGCTAGGTCTCACCATCATTTGGTGAACCTAACTAAACCAATTCCAAGATTTTGGATTGGATTAAATTAATGAAGAAAAACAAGGCATGGTTGCCCACCCTTCTCCATGGTCGAGTATTAATAGTTTCTCCAACACACCTTGCCACTTGGCTTGCTAAGGGGACTAGGTGACACTTGACACTCTATGATTGACTATTCTAGATCTAAGTGTCTTCTCCTTGTCTCCTAAGAGACAAGGTGATACTTGACAGTATTATTGACACTTCTTGATCTAAGTGTTCTTGATTGTACATTGATTTGTATGGATTAGAATTGTTCTTGTGTCACAATTACAAACGGAACTCCCTTAGTCACCTTCTCAACTGTTGCATGAGAATTCATTTAAATTTCTTTATTTTCCAAATTATCAAATTCTCCATGGTTTCATATGCTCTCCTAGCTTAAATTTGAGATTTCTTTATGAAGGAAAAAATTACAACAGAAGCCAAAGGTCCCAAAATCATCAAAGGTTGTAAATCTCATACAACTTCCAGATGGCCTCTAATCACCTTAACTTTGACCATTACGGAACTATGTAATATGATGGTGTGTGTGGAACATAAAAGTGAGAGACAAAAGAATTTATTTTTTAATTTATCAATTGGAAACGTACTAAACCAGGATCTCAATTCTCAAAACAGAGTATTGATAATCCTTGTGTAAAATTAAAGCGCACCCGTTAAAGACGAAGCAGTTCCTCACAAGAAGCAAAATAAACAACAACAAAAAAAAAAAACTTTTTTGACGAAAAATTCAACACCCAGATGAAGATAAGAAGCTTTTCACACATAGAGAAGGTGAGTGAAGGAAAATAAAAACGAAACTGCATGACCCAGAAAGAAAGGTGTTGGAATACTTACGAATGAGTAGAGAAGGGAAGATTGCATTTTCGCATTTACCTTGCGGTGGGCGGTGGCTGGTGTGAGTTAGGGATTCCGGATTCCTAATAGCGTGCGTGCGTACAAGACCAACCCAACCCGTGCGTGTTTTTATTTTTTAATGTGTAATTACTTATAGTTAACCAAACTGTAACTTAAATAAGTTCAGTTTTTTAAAACTGAATTAAAAAATAGTTTAATTCAGTTTTATTTTAAATAGTTTTAGTTTTTTAGTTTAAAATAATTCAGTTATTTAATAGTTTTAGTTAAGTTTAGTTAATTTTGCCCAGCCCTAGTTTTCGGTTATGCTTCTCTTTTTTCTCTCAACAACTTGGTTTTCCTTTATGCTTCTCCTTATCATTGGTTTGTTAGGCTCCTCATCTTAATAAATTTTCGTGTCAACCCCAAAGCATGACTCTTCTGCTTCTGCTCGAAAGAAGCCTTTTGAATAACTGTACAAACGCAGAATGGACAAGATTAGAAGGAGCAAAAATGGGAAGTCTGCCATGCCTCCATTCTCTTTTGTAGAACTTGTCTGCATCTCTGAAGCTTTAAAATTGACTTACATTTGATACAGTCTTAGTCTTAACTCACTTTATGATGTTTTTTTTGTTCTAGACTGGAAGTACTTTGATGTCTTCTTTTTTTCATCTCAATCTCAAATGAGATTTTGTTTATATATTTCCTCTCACTTTAACTACTCAAACTGAACATGTTTGCATTCCCGAGCACTAGTAGCTTAGTCAATAGTCCAGTTTTTTAATTTACTTCAACTTGTTGGAAGAATTTATCTGATTAGATCTTGATAGATATTTGTATTTTAATACTGGAAAATGGATAGCAAATTTAGATAGTCAAGCTCTTATTACAAGGAAATAAACTTTTAAATCAGGAACCACACTTGGGAAAAGGAATAATGCTAGAAAAGGTAAATGATCAGAGCTGCCAATCACATTCTACCCCTTGGCCTAAGCTGGCCAAATGATTCTGCCCTCTGAGTCTGACCATTGTCTTCTCCCTCATTCATGTTTCTTTCTCTTGTCATCGTTGTTTCATAATTGCCTTCTCCAATTCCCTGTTTCCATGTACATCATGTTGCATTTGCCCACAATTATCTTGATCACCAATTGCAAAATCCTTATTCCTATGTATAAATTGTGTAGCCTCACATGGCACGACTCTCAAGCCCATTTTGCTTCTAACTTTCTTGTTTTATACACGTGTCAAGGGACTGACCATCAATATGCTCCTCTTAGAGTCACTTAGTCCTCAAGCTAATATCTAGAAGGGCACTCTGAATGACCTGAAACAGCTTGACATTGGTTCTGAAATGAGCTTGGGCATTATATTGGGCACCCAACAGACCTAGACAATATTGTTCAGCCACAACAGAGACTGAAAACTGAAGAGGATTGATTCCATCCCGTACCCCCCAATTTGGGAAAGAGATTCTGGACGGAGCGCTCTCCATAAGATTCTATTCAGTTCTATTTCATAATTTTCATTTGTATTTAAACAATCCCAACAGTTAAACTTGGTGCCATTCCATTTCAGTACATTCATTTTTCTTTTCCGTGAACCATAGCCCAAGGAAGTACTGATGCTTGTTATAATAGCTTTCTGAATATCTGAAATAGTGACCAATACTGATGAGGGTACCTAATTACATGTTTTGACAGTGTTCTAGTCATTACGCTTTCTAAATTATCCATTTCTTTTCCATGAATTTTCAAGTTTGTTAGAATTCGCATAGCATGTGAAACTCCAATCTATTTTTTGTGAACTAGTTGATCCACCATGTTAGTATATATGATTTGTATTGGAACCTTTGTTTGACAACTTAATTCAACTTAAAACTGGTCTGATTTATCTATAAAACTCAAGCAACCGTCAATTCTGATACTTAATATTCCAATTCTGATATAATATGATAGACAATATTGAACTGCACTTCTAAAGTTGGATGCCTGAGTGTGTATTGTGTATAGAAATTCAGTGATTTGTAACATTATGTTTGTTGTCCTGCAGAAGTGAAGCTTCTTTTCTGAGAGCTACAGAGTCTAGCAGCTGCCTTGACAACTCTGGAGTGGTAGATGATGGGAAACTTTGTGAATGCATAGACTCTTCTAATCGCTGTTTGGATAATAATACCGAAGTGATCAAACATCCTAGTCCTAAACTAAGTCTACCATTTGGTGGTTGGTTTCGTCACCTATGGCCAAAACAGTGTCATGAAAAAGTAGGCTCATCTAGAAATGGTGTAAATAAGGAAGATTTGAAACCGACACCATTTCTTCCAAAAGTTACAATGGTTGGTCTCTCTACAGAGGAATCAGGCCAGATGAGTAAAGCTAATTTAAAGAAGACCATGGAGGATTTGACAAAAGAGTTGGAGAAAACAGAGATAGGTAATATGACTGGTGATGGCAGTAAAGAGTTCAATGTAGAAGATAGGGATCCACTATTTGTAGCAAATGTGGGTGATTACTATTCTGGCTTGGGAAGAGCAGGATCTGGTCGCTGGATTAGAGGTGGATCCAACTAAAACCTTTTTGTCAGAAAGAAATTTTCTTTTTCAGGTTATTCTGGATATTTATTGGTCTCCGAATAAGGTTCTTAATATCGGGTTATCTATTAACATGTTATAGTATTGGAGCTGGAAATAACCTCATTTGCGGTGTACACTAAAAGTGGATGGATCAAGCTTGAGATTATGTCTGATCAATGTTGTAAATGATTATTTATATAATTCATCTCTGATGCCCATTTTGCTTTGGGAAGTTAAATAAAACTGTTACAGAATGACTAGTTAGTAGTTACTGTATAAACTTGATTCTGGGGAAAGAAAGCATAATCACTCTTT